CCAAAGCCACCTGTTCCACTTCTCTTTAAATGAGAAAAAAGATAAAAGCGAACACCTGTTCTTACACACACGTTACACACTGATTACTAAAATAAGTCTGATTTTTAAGAATTACAGCAAGTTAACTTTACTTGTGTCTTCACATATTTTTGTTTTGGGTGGGGGAGCTTCCACAGAGCTTTCCGCAGCTAGTTCACAGGTAAGAGGCGGTTAGTTGCTAAACGTTTCACAGTGTGTATCACAATCGTATGGGGATGCATGCGTGAATATGTGTATGTATATCTAATGAAATATGAGCAAGCTGAATTTCTGTTGATTACAGATACGTGCTGTGCATTCATACTTACATACATATCACAGTGATACATTAGTCTGCTAGTGCATGTATGTAACAGTCACGTTTCTCATTAATGCACCCCGAATAATAAAGCAAACACAATGTTTAATTAAAGAGGTTAACATTTTCTTTTTCTCTTTAAAAAATAGAAAAATGACAAAAGAGCAAAGAGCAGCAGTTTGGGTTTCCACTGATGATTCACAGACAAATCCTGATCTGATTCCAGGACAGGGACGTGCAGAGAGGTTTAAAGGGGCGGGTGCTCAAAGTTAAAAAGGGGCACATTGAACCATGCTGAATAACAACAACACACATTCATCAAGAATCTAATATGGGAAGGGCAGGGCTGTGTTGATCTGAGACTGTAGACATTAAAAAGTCCACAGGAGAGATGGTAGCTGATTAAACAAGTGTCATGAGATAATAACAAAATGCAAAGATTGGTGACAGCGCTTGGAACCATAAGGCAACAAAAAACTGTGACATAAACTCGGCTCTGCCTGTGAATCACTCTTTGCTTCTCTTCTTCCTTCCTTCCCATCATTTCATATATCACTCTCCACTTGCTGTCTATCTGAGAACAAGGCACAACTTGCTATTGCAATAAACTATAATCTAATTATCCACACCTAACAACTCTTGCACTTAATCTATAATAAAATGATGACAGAAAAATGTTATAGCCCTGCCTTTAGTAGCCTCACACAGCTCCTACTGTTTCCTCCTCATGTCCTTACCAGCCATGTCTGCACAATGTTATATCATGAGTAATATTTTTTTAAATCCAGCTAAATAAAACACACACATGCACACACAGTGACATTTTAGACCTTCTTCAGAATACTGTATATACTATGGGCATCCTTACATTATTATTTATTACTAGAGCTACAATAATAAAGCAATGAGGAGGGGGAAGTAATAAATATGAAATAATGTATTTATGATGATTCCATTTGTTTCACTATCCACTCTGTGCAGGGCAAAGCTTATTACATTTTTAAACTGTAGAGATACAATCATTTTACTGCTGTAAAATCCAAATTTTGTCTTATTTAAAATATAAATCTAATATAATCTGCTTCTTAATGTATGTTCTTTAAAATACAGCGTGTGTTTTTTAATATATTATAATTATAATAATTATTATGTGGACATGCATATTAGATCGTTTTTTAGTGAAATATAATCCCTCCAGAAAGGCAGGAAATGCCCAGAAACTTACTTTAAAACTAAATATGTTCCCTAAAACGGTGACAGAGCTACAGACCCATGACAGCCTTACACAGGTAGCCAGCAGCTATGACCAGCACTACTTGTGCAGTTAATAAAAGGACAGGTAATGTTTGTCGCGCTGTTGCACACACAGCACGCTCGTTTGTTTCAGTTCGTCAGTTGCAACAAGACAGCTTACCAACGTGTACGTAATAAGCTAATACTCCTGTGTGCTACACACTACAGTGTGCGCTGTACACCTACTTACTGGTTTTGTCGCATCAGTCTGTGTCTCTGAGTTAACTTGTGTTTCTCCTACAGCTCCGGACCGCTAAAAATGCGCGTGCTCTTTGTGAGCTCGTTCCCGGCTCGTAACCAGCGCGTTCTGCCGTCAAGGGCGATCATTGGTTAAATGTGATCATGTGACTGATGCAAGCCAGATCCTTTTATTTAGCAAAACTATGATTAATAGTTAAATATTATTGTTGAGGGGCACAGACAGGACTCCGCACGCACACACACATAAAATAAATAAATAAATAAATAAATAAAAAAAATTTAAAAGTTGCCTCAACAAAAGGGCACTTTGGGCACTCATCAGGAAAGGGGCGGGTGCTCAAGCCCCTCTAGCCCCCCCTTCTGCACGTCCCTGTTCCAGGAAATGAGAAGCTACTGCTTGAAAGGTTTCATAATGCAATTGCACAAGCCATCGTGTGTGAATAGTTCTGTGTGTATCTGTTGAAATATGTGGTTAATACTGAGTAAGAGCTCATGCTGAATAAGTTAAAGATACATTCTACAAAATGTATTGGAAGACTGAGACTGCTAATGTATGTATGTAACAGTCAGACAGGTCAGTGGCTAAATGATAAATACAGGTGTGCGCTGTAGGTCACTGTTTTGGAGATAGTTGCAGTTATATTGTGTAATTAATTTCCAAATACTCCAAGAACAAGTTGTTTTTTGTTTTTATTGCAAATTTATTTGCATTATATCATTTAAATAATCATCAGAAAGACAAAGATTAGCTTGGTTTCACCATAAAAACTTGCTTAATGTATTCTTTTACTTTATACTTAAAAAGAATATATAAAATATACATACACTGCATCAATAGTGCTACACTGAGTTTTAGAAAAACAGCCTTATACAACTAAAATAAATCAAATGAGCAGGAAATGAAATATTAACTTTACATTTTTTTCTTGACATTCAGCTCAATTTAGAGTAAAATCAGATGCAACCTTTAATTGATGTGATTCTGTGAGAAAATTCAACACATCACATTGGACAGAAAAACATGTTATTCCCTGTTGCTGGTGTTTCAGGAAGGACACTTGTACATATTTGAATTGTGCCTGAAACACTGTTTTACATTTCTACACACAACAAAATGAATAAGCTGCTTCAAACATCTCCAAAGTGAAATTTCTATGATTTCAGGGACATCTTTTTTAAATGTTCACGGTCTTCAGTGCAAACAACAGCATAAACACACAGGTGCACCTCTGCACCACCTCTAAACTAATAAACTAACAACCAGTGTCCAGCACAAAAGTTATCGCTAAGCCATTTCATTTTGTACAAATCCAGCTTTTCTGAGTTTGTGTCTGACCAGATGCAGCTTTCTGAACCATCTTTTCAACGTTCTTATACTTATACTTATACCACACTGTGTTTATGTGCTTAAAAAGAAATTATTTTTTAACTAAAACCAATTCTGAACTAAAATTTCACCAACTCATCTACACGGACATTTTATAGAGGGTATTATTAAAAGACAGAAATTCAAAATGTGTAGTCTGTGATAAACTAGTTCCCCCCACAATAATAACACTGATGACGAGCCAGAAAGGCTGCAATGTTCTGATCAATGATGGAGCCTCTCGCTTCCAATCTTAAAATGTATTAAATATTATTCTGACTGTGTTAATCTGAATGGATCGATGTTAATCATTATAAATCTAAATGTTTTGATAAATGTCCTCTTGTTCTTCATAAAGGTCGACAGTTTGTTCAGCAAACATCTGTGTTACATATACATGATCATTTTCATCACCGCTGCTTTGTTCTTCGTCTGCTTCCACTTTTCTCTCTTTCTCATATGTTTCCTCTCTCTTCGCTCTTCCTGTTTGTTTGGTAAAATTCCTGTAGGTGTTCAGTGTCTCAACATTCATATAGATCCTCTCCTCGTCACTGACGTCATCTTCTTCATTACAGGTTTTTAGAGTCACTGAAACACAGCACAGCAGATTTTTCTGGATGTCATGATCAAAACAAAGCTGCTGATTCATGTAATACATTGTTTGTTTTGGTGAGCACTGACCTGTGGTGTGGATGTGGGCCTGCTGTGTTTGCCTCCTTCTCCTGAGCACCAGTAAGACCACCAACAAGACCAGCAGGAGCAACAGGACCACAGGAACTACAGACGAGACCAGCAGCATCCGAGGAACTAAGAGAGAAAAGGTTTTAGTCAAAAATGAAAGATAGAAAGTGGTTTTGTATTATTTATTGGCACTTCCTATTTCCTTTGTAATCATGGTTTTACATAGTAAGGAGGTTCTTGTTTGGCAAATGTGTTAATCGAAAATGAGTTCAAAACACACTGCAGACAGGTCATTTGATGAATTGTCGTATGGAGTCTTTTATTTATTGTTTAGAATGACATTTGTATCTAACATGTTTGGAGTGTTAGAGGGAGCTGAGCACCCACAGAAAACACAGGCAAAGGTGTTAAATGCAAACACAGTTAGCTCAGGTAACAAACACACACAAACCCCAAACCTTCTGTGAGACAACAGTGTTTATCATCTCGCCAGCATTTAATATGATCTTCATCAGTCTAATACTGCGTTGATTAATCTTGTAAGACTCCGATATTGAAATCAAATAAATAATTTGTAAAGCATTAACGAAGTCTGGTTTATTACTTTTACTTGGCTACTATTTACCAGTTTAAAGATTTAAGCATGAACCTTTGCTGTAATGCAAAAGCAGTAAGGGATGAATGTGTCAAAAAGCTAGAAAAATGTACGATAATCCCCAAAAATCTCTTCACAAGACAGTGTCCTGAGTAATTATCAGCCCATTTTTAAACTGTCACTCTTTGTTAAAGTTTTAGAAAAAGTTGTTTTAAATCAACTCTTGTCTTTCC